TGTTTTGTGTGTTCATTTGCATCAACTAGTTTTACCATTTAAACTCAGATGATTTTTATTATACATACTAGGAGCTTACATAATAAGATGCATAAGCTCACAAATTGAAAGCTTTTATATGAAAGAAGTAATTTATTTGTTGAGTCTAAAGGGAAAAACATTTATCTCTTTTTGTGGCTGATCCACAAAATCCTGAAAAACAAAATAATGGAGAAGTCTTGTGCTTTATAATTAAAATGTATGTAGATTATGACTTACATGTAGAAGTCAGTTTGTGGCTTGACGTCCAGTTTATAAACTGTTCTGCAAGTACATTTAATAATTGATTGTTAAAGCCTTAAATATGTGTTTTTCCACATAAGCATTATTTTTAATGGCTACAGGGTATTCCCTCATATAGACATGTTATGATACACTTGTTCCTGTTTTGGGCGGTTTGTTTGTTCGTTTTTGATGTTGTAATAAGTGAGCATCTTTCTATATAAAACTTAATCTGAATTTCCTGTTTGCTCCCTGCCTACACAGACCCAGTTATCACTAATCCTATAACCTGGTGATATTCTATTGAAGATTTAATGACCTAACATCCTTAAAGTGTTTGACATAGTGTGTGGGACACTGGAAGTGCAGAATAAATGCTGTTCGCAGACTTTTTCTGATTCAACATTGGAATAAGGAAATAAGAAGGTTTGAAATGGGCTCTTTGAGGTGAACACTGAGGTCTTTTAGCAATGACACAGCAAGTGATAGTGGAGGAGGAAAATCCAAAAAATTGAAGCTATGAGATGGGAAAGGGTTTCTGTGGTTCTTCATTTGTATTGGTTGTTCCCAATTGTGTATTCTTTATCTGAAACAAATACCTTAACTTGATAGTGTCAGAATATGAATTTCTTCCTTTTAGTTAAAATGTATAAGTTTGTTAAAGTAATATATAATAGAGATACAAAGCGCCCTTATAAATAGCGCAAACATTGTGTGTGTGATCTTTGTTTATTGTATTTGTATTTTATATTTTTTGTGATATTTTATTCAAGTGTGTGTCCAATGATGTCTCCCCTGTTTTCTTTATTTTTTATTTAATTATTCTAGTCACGTGAACTGGAAATTTCAGTTTATTGGCGTGATTGGCGATCTCTGTGTGCTGTAAAGTTTCTGAGGTTAGAAGATTTTTTAGACAACCAACGGCATGGCATGTGTCTCTATTTGGAACCACAGGGTACTTTATTTGCAGAGGTAATAACTGTATTTTATTAAATATGCACAACTGCAGTTGAAATGACACACGTAGGCAGCGTGAGAAAGGAGTGGGAGGAGTGTTAGGCTGAGTGGCAGGCAACTTGAATTCTTGGCTCAGTTCTGCCGCTGAATAGGTATATTATTCTGAGACGTACCATTTATCTAGGTCTGTTTTCTCATCTAGAAAATGAGGGAATTGAACTAAATTGTATCTCAGATTCTCTTAAGTTTTTAAAACCTAGAAGTTTAACAAATTTTATGAACCATAAATCGAATGCTATATTCATGTCAACTTGAATTCTCTTCACTGCAGGTTACCTTTTTTAATCCAGTTATTGAAAGAAGACCAAAACTCCAAAGACAAAAGAAAATTTTTTCAAAACAACAAGGTAATTACTAAGAAATCAAGTACAAAGTGTTTTGGTGTTATTTTAAATATAAAAAAGTCTACACACTGTTTAAAAAGTGATATCCATCTTTGTTTTTTGTTTTCCTCTTATTTGTTCAGTCATTTACTTCTAGATTTTATTAAGGAATATGTGAAACACATCCATGAGTATGGAGGCTGGTGCAGTGCATCGTCACTCAGCTTTAACAGCAGTTAGCTCATGTCCAGTTTCGTTTCATCTCTAGCCTGTCACTCACTACTTCTCAGATTATTTGAAGCAAACTCAGACTTCATATTGATTCATCCATAAATATTACAGTTAGTATATCTAAAAGATAAGAATTCTTTTTTAAACCTTAATCATATATCATTACTACACATTAAAAAAGAGCAATTCCTACCTATTTATTTTTAAAACTGCTTTTCCTTTTTTGCACTAGCCTTTAATAACAGTTAATTAAAAACTATTTTTAAGTGGCAAATTTTGTTTGTTCTTCATAAATTAAAAACCAATGAATATGAATATTTAAAATATGGTTTTTGGTAATATATTAAAAGATTTCTTGTTCTGTTTTCTTTCTTTACCATGTCCACAGGCAAAACATTTCTCAGAGCTCCTCAGATGAATATTAATATTGCCACTTGGGGAAGGCTAGTGAGAAGAGCTATTCCCACAGTAAATCATTCTGGCACCTTCAGCCCGCAAGCCCCGGTGCCCGCTGCAGTCCCCGTGGTTGACGTGCGCAGCCCTGAACTAGCGCCTCCAGTTAGGTATGGGCCTTAAGTTCTTCGAGAAGCACTGCTTTTATGAAGTAGTCGTTGTGACATTCACACATACTGATCGCAGTGAGTCTGTTAAGTCTTGTTTGTTCCAAATAGTATTTTGAAGTTCATGTTCTGCTTACTTTTAAAACAACAAAATTGTTTGCTTTAATTTTGAAGCTGTTTAAAATACACACTTTTTATTACTGCTTTTATCTTTTATAAGTGATTCTACAGTAACCAAATTGGACTTTGATCTGGAACCTGAACCTCCTCCGGCCCCGCCACGTGATTCTTCCCTTGGAGAAATAGATGAATCTGCTGAATTAAGAGATTTGGATACACCAGGCCAGGCAAGGCATTTTAAACCTTGTATAATTCCTTATCACCAATGAGTTACCAGTAAAAGCATCCTACTGAATGAGGTACACGTTACAGATGACTAAAAATTGCTTGTCTCTTCTGAGTGAAACATAGACACCTCCGGGTGCTCTGAGCTGGTGGAGACGGAATAGGCTGCTTAACTAGGAGCGCAGGAGCCTGGCTGGTGCTGGATGGCATGCTGCCTGAACACTGTTCATCTTCTCACTAGGGTAACGTGGTTTCTGAAATGCATTGAAGATGACAGTGATGTATTCATTTTATTTAATTGAAATATAGTGATTTACAGCATTCTGTCAGTTACAGATGTACAGCGTCAAGATTCAGTATTTTTGCAGATTCTGATCCATGACAGGTTGTTACAGGATGGTGGTGTAACTCCTGTGCTGTACAGTATCCTTTTTGCTTTTCCATTGTATACAGTGGTTCGTGTCTGCTAATCCCATACCCCTAATTTGTCCCTCCCTCTTTCCTTCTCCCCTTTGGTTACCACAGGTTTGTTTTCTATGTCTGTGAGTCTGTTTCTGTTTCATATACACGTTCATTTGTATTATTTTTTAGATTCCATGTGTTAGTGATACCATACAGTATCTTTCTCTGTCTGACTTACTTCATTAAGCGTGTTATTTTCTAGGTCCATCCACATTGCTGCCAATGGCAGTATTTCTGTTTTAACAGCAGGGTAATTCTCCATTGTATGTATAGATGTCACATCTTCTTAAACCAGTCATCTGTTGGTGGACACTTCAGTTGCTTCCATGTCTCGGCTGTTGTAAATAGTGCTGCTGTGAATGTTGGAGTGCATATACGTTTTCAAATTAGTGTTTTCGTTTTTTCCACTGTATTTCTTTTTTTACATTTTTAGATAAGAGTAGTGTAGAATTAATAACCATAAGAATGAATATCCAATACCTGAACTTTATTTTCTCACTCATATATATATATTGACTTTTAACATTTTTTTAACTGTCCTTACCTAATAAGTTGTTTTGTGAATGTTTCTATGATTTAATGAGTGTTTAATATTTTACAGGTTTCAGAAACTATTTTTGACACTGAAAATGGCAGAAATAGTGTACTTCCAACATCGCATTCTGAATATGAGCCTGATATTCCTCAGTCAGTTCTCGAATACAGTGGTGATCGTGAACTTGAGGACAGAAGGTACAGAAGACACACACAGCTTGGCTCCTGCCCGTTTGGCCCTGTGCTTTTGCCTTGTTTTTAACTGGCCTTCCTGTTTTCAGATCTCAACAGATGTTTCAGTTTAATCTACAAGACTTCAGATGTTGTGCTGTCTTGGGCAGAGGACATTTTGGAAAGGTAATCTTTTACATTTTCTTGGAATGCCTACAAAAGTAGTAACTCAAATGGGAAATAATTATTTTAATCTCACCTCAGGTACTTTTGGCTGAATATAAACACACAAACGAGATGTTTGCTATAAAAGCCTTAAAGAAAGGAGACATTGTGGCTCGAGATGAAGTAGACAGGTTAGTTTTTTTTTTTAATTGTTTATTTTTCTGAAGTTGTAATTTGACATTATGACAATCGATGTACATATTGCAACTTTCTATTTTCATAATGCATTTGACTGTTAACATGGGTTGCAACTGTGCGGGTCGACTTAAAACAGATATTTTTCAGTAGTAAATACTAAAATATGTTTCCTTGGTCTGTGGCTAGTTGAAGCCACAGATGTGGAGGAGCTGCAGGTACAGAGGGCCGACTGTAAGTTATGCACAGATTAACCCGCATGTTGTTCAGGGGGCAGCTATGATATGTAAAGAAACTAAAGTTAATGCATAAGGTAGGCATTAATTAAATATTATTTTCTTTCTAGCCAACCCTTCTCCCCACTCTTATGACAGTTTGCTGGTTAATGGATACCAAGGAAAGATGACAAATGGTTTAAACTAATTCTAATAAGCTTATACTTGGAAGTGTTAGTGTTTATATGGAATAAGATCTGTTAACGCATCTGTGGTTGGGGGAGGCTATTTCTCATTTCATATTCTGGAAGTAATAAAATATCATTTATAAATTATCTTCAGTTAACTGAATAGTTAAT